GAGAGAACCAGCTTGCTAGGCAAGCGTTCCACTACTGAGCTAAATCCCCAGCCTCCACTTCATCATTTAAAGCCAAGAGCAAGCACAGAAGTTGACACCACGTGTGCAAAAATGGTATAGAATGCCACAGATACACATATTTTATAAGAACAAGTCTTTCAAACATAGAATGTCTGCGAGGGGTGACAGTGCACACCGATAATCCCACACTGGAGAAGCAACACGATGCAACAGAGCAAGTGTCAAGCCCAGGTTAAAGGCAGAAGGAGCACAGCCCAGGCCTGAGCAGCTCAGCGTGAACTTGCCTATCACCGAGGGAAGGCTCTGCTCCTTAGCAGCACTGGTGTCCACAGTACACTGTTCCAACAGCTGAGTTTCCAGCTCTCTGAAATGTGAAAGTCATTGCACTTACAATACTGCAACAGATGTCTTTCTTACTAAACATGTCTCATAGCAGATTACAATGCTTCAAATAAAAATATTTTATCCTGAAAAGATGAATACACTTAAAGCGAACAGACAATGGAACGAATAAAACTAAATGTCTCCGTTGTAACACTGACTACTGACCCACGAACACAGGAGCATCTGCTTCCATGGAGAAGATTGGGAATGGTGAGGAACATTCCAGAACACTTACTTGTGCAGAGCTTTTCCTCCTAGGGGGAGAGCCCCCCAACAATTTAGTACTGGGATTCCTTCATATATCTACACGGTGGTCAAGGATATTACTATTTTAGGAGTGTAGGTGATTTTCTTGATATTTTATCAACTTTTATAGTAACGTTTTATTTTCTTGACATTTTCTATCTTTTACAATACCGTTTTAATCAACTTTGAAATAAATTTTTTCTAAGTATTTTTCATGATGGTATGAGGAAGTGAAATAAATTTTTTCTTTTTAAGCATTTTTCATGATGGTATGAGGAAGTGAACCCAGGGCTTCTATACTAAGTTACATCTCTATCCCTTTTTTGTTTTGAGACAGGGCCAGTTACCCAGACCGGCCTCTAACTTGCAAACCTCTTGCCTCAACTGATTGTCCTGGCACTTTTAAAAGAATGTATTTGGTTGTTGCAGGGTCTCACTATACAGACTGGACTTATAGTGATCCTCCTGTTCTCAGCTTCCCCAGTGCTGGAATTATAGGGGTGCCCACTACGCCCTGGACTCTGGTCGGCTCAGCCTGCCCTGGGGGTTGGCGCTGCGGATCAAACCACTTGCCGGCCCTTTTTTAAGTTACAGAAAAATCAAAGAGGAAGTCTTATTCTCACAGTGTTCACCAAAGAAAATGCACACACACACAAACACAACTCATTACTCAGTGACTGACATCCAAGAAGGGCTAGCTAGCCAGGACTATCTAACACTTGAAAGATAGACTTGAGAGCTGCGTAGAGCTAAAGGACTTCAATTTTAAAAAAAAGTATAATAATTTGTATACTTTGGAATATTGGAATATTTGGGTCAAATAAAATACACTACTAATTTCATTTATTTATTTGTATTTGAAAAAATGTGATTTATAAAATTTTAATTACATATATGGCCTACATTTATTTTACTGCACAGAGGTAACATGATAATGCTATGGTTTGCTATCTTATTTTACATCTTATTTTGCTTAATATTCTGTAAATACAAATCTATAAAAAGGAAGAGTCAGGTGTGTGGAGTGCATGCCTATAATCCCAGTTACTGAGAGGCAGGGGGAGGTTAGCCTGGGCTCCATTGTGAGTTTAAGGTCAGTCTGAATACATGCAGACCCTTTTTTTTTTTTTGCGGAACCGGGGATTGAACTCAGGCCCTTGTACTTGCCAGGCAAGCGCTTATTCTACTGAGCCATCTCCCCGGCCCCAGACCCTGTTTCAAAATAAACATTTTTAAAAAAGGAAAAACAAAGTATTCTAGTAAGGTTGTTAGTTTTTTTTTTTTTTTAATTTTTATTTATTTATTTTGTGGAACTGGGGATTGAACTCAGGCCCTTGCGCTTGGAGCGCTTATTCCACTGAGCCATCTCCCCGGTCCCAAGGCTGTTAGTTTTAAACACAGACATAGATCTATATCATAGTGGTGTGCTCATATGAGCTTGGTTTAACTCACTATCCCAATTTTCAATTTTCTCATTTAAAGAATATTTTAGGGTTGGGGAGATGGCTCAGTAGAATAAGCACTTCCCTGGCAAGTGCAAGGGCCTGAGCTCAATCCCCAGTTCCGCCAAAAAAAAAAAAAAGTTAAAGAATGGTATTTTAATAATCAAAACTCGCAGAGGCCAGGTTCAATTCCCATGTGCCATGCCGGCCCACGGGGCGCCCTGAGATGGCAGTTGAGACTGGGTGTGGTGGTACACACCTGTAATCCCAGCGCTTGGGAGGCTGAAAACAGGAGGATCACTGAGTCCAATCTATGTAGTGAGACCTGTAGACCCCATCCTAAAAAAACCAGGATTTTATAATTAAAGTTACTGCCTAGTTTAGTTTCTTAAGAGTATGACTTTCTTTCTTATAAATATTTCTTCTAAAATAAGCCTTACATTTATGTATTTCAGTCTTTTTCTTTTTTTTTTTTTCCGTTGACTTTCCAATTTATTCACATTTCATGGATTGTTACACTTCCGCAAAAGGATCATTGAAAAGCTAATACCAACAGAGTACATTATCTGACAATTCAAGTATTTTAGTTGTAGAAAAGTTTCCACACTTTGACATCTCCCTTGCAGTTCTGTCTCCAAGGACAGCGAGTCCTCAGTCCTGACCATGAGGGCAGCTGGCCGAGTGCACACGGTGGCTGTGTGCACAGGGGTGAGCACGGACCAGTGCCAGCGCGCCCAATCCAGAGCTGTAAGCCTACTTCAGAGCACGGGCCCAGTGTGCAGCGGTCAGCCTTTTTCTTTCTTTCTTTCTTTTTTTTTTTTTTTCAGAACCGGGGATTGACCTTGGCCCTCGTGCTTGCCAGGGAAGCGCTTCTTCCACTGAGCCATCTCCCCGGCCCCCTATTTCAGCCTTTTTCAATGAAGCAATGTTCACAGCAACAATTCTTTTTTTTTTTTTTTAAACATTTATTTATTTATTGTGTGTGTGTGTGTGTGTGTGTGTGTGTGGCCAGCTCAGCCCACCAGGGGGCGGGGCTGGCTGGCATGTGGTGCTGGGGATTGAACCGCGGTCCCTGTGCTTTGCCAAGCTTGTTCCAAGTAGGTGCTTTAGACCACAGCCATCTCGCCAGCCCCCACAGCGACAATTCTAAAAAATACTTATCTATATGCTGCTTAAATGTTTATTTATTTATTTATTTTTTGGTGGAACTGGGGATTGAACTCAGGCCCTTGCGCTTGCCAGGCAAGTGCTTATTCCACTGAGCCATTAAATGTTTATGATGAAAATTAATGGACTAATTTATATAGCCAGTAATTCCATTCTGGAACAACCGGAATTGGTGAGTGTTCCCCCAGGCCAGTGATGACGAACAATTTTAGAGCCAAATACCCAAACTGCAACCCAAAACCCACTTACTTATCACAAAGTGGCAACATTACAATTAAGCCTGAATGCTGAGGTTTTAGTTTAAAAAAACTCACACATTAACATCTTTTGTCTTAAAAACAGGTAACACCCATGCTGCAGGGTTGCCACCTCTTCCCTAGTGAATGACATAAAAATTACAGCATGAGAGCCAGGTGTGGTGCAGCAATACCTGTAATCCCAGAACTCAAAAGGCTGAGGCAGGCGATCACTGCAGTTTAAGCCCCACCTGGGCTACACAGTGAGTTGAAGGCCAGCCTCAACTGCATAGTGAGACTCGGTCTCAAAAAGACAAACTCCACAAAACTACAGCACGGCCTGAATGAGGCAGTGTGAACCAGGTCCTATGCTGATTGCTCTACATACATTACCTCTCTCAAACCACATAGCTCTTGCAGGAGACGGAGACCCTGTATCTGCCATTTCCTACATGTAGCAATTGAGGCCCAAAGAGGTGAAGCTACTTGGCCAACACTGTAAGAGTGATAAGGAGCACAGGGCATATTTGTACTCATCATGTATTTGATTCTAAACCCTAAACTTAGAAAACCTACAGTGCATTGTGTCCATGGCAGCTTCTGGAGATAGAGAAAATATATTTCCTCAAAAAAAAAAAAAAAAGATAGCTCAGTAGAATAAGCGCTTCCATGGCAAGCGCAAGGACATGAGTTCAATCCCTGGTTCTGCCAAAAAAACCCAAAGCAAAACAAAACAAAAAAAACCAACTACTTCCTTTCTCCAGCAAAGTTTTCAGTTATTTGAAAGCTGATTTCACATTGCCATTACGTTTTAGGTTTTAGCTGAATCTTCTCATTTCATTAATTACTTTTCCTATGATTTCTTTGTTAGAACATAACTATTCTAGACAGCTTCTTTGACACATCCTAAGTAACTGATATCTCTCTTGAAAACTGAACATCGCACTGATGAACTCTTCTCCTGGAGTATACACTGGGACCACGTCACAACGGTAATTACTACAAAAAGTAAGTTTAAGTCTTACAATCTTATGAACTTTTACCACAGGGTAACTCATATTTATGCCTGTCAACCCCAAGTACTTTAATACAATAAAAATTACTTAAAATATTATTTTAGGGCTGGGGAGATGGCTCAGTAGAGTAAGTGCTTCCCTGGCAAGTACAAGGGCCTGAGTTCAAACCCTAGTTCCGAAAATAAAAAAAGTTTTAAAATTATTTTATATATTTTTTTGGGACAGGGTCTCTCGCTGTATAATTCAGGCTGCCCCTAAACTCACCATGTAGCCTACGCTGGCCTTGGACTTATGGCAATCTTCCTGACTCAGCCTCCCAAGTGCTGGGATTATAAACCTGTGCCACTACACAAAGTTAATATTTTACACTAGAGTAAAAACTATATAATTGATTAACAAAAAAAGATACGGGCAACACCAGGCTTTCCCTATATCCACAATCCAGGACCATGGCAGAGTTAATTCCAAGCGTCAGAAGAGCCATGAGGTGACTTGGAGCTAATAAGACGGATGGAACCTAGAAAACAATAAAATTAGATTGAACATCACTATCTGAAGGTGCTTCCCTATAGTCAGGAGAACTTGAAAAAGTTCTAGCCTTGTTGTATTTATATTATGCTAGCTGAACAAGCATTTTATGACATTAAATTTAAAAAACCTGTTGATTTATATAAACTTATGCCAAGTGTAATATAATACAAAAATAATTTAAACCAAGTTTTTTCATGCTGAAATGACAATTCTGAAGTATTCTTATTAATGGTTTTCTATCTCTTTTGGAGTAGAAAACTGAATTTAAAAGATGAAAGTCAGAAACAGAGAAGAAAATCATATTAGGAACAATACATGCCTTTACTATCCTGATGAGAAAAAAATCCTTGATTGTTTTATTTGCAAAGTTTGTAACATTAGTTATATTTTTAAAGCATTCTAATACATCAGTTAAATTAAAGAACAAAACAAAAAACAAAATTGCAAAATTTTTTCCAGTGAAAATTTGTTAAATATGGTGATATTCCAAAATTAAAAAACAAAACAAAACAAAACAAAATTAAGATATTCAATGAAAACAGGGCCGTCTCCCACCATCGGAAGGCTGGTGCAGCAACAGATCTACTTCCCTTTTCTAAGGAGATAGAGCAGATCCGGTCATTTACAGGACAAGGCACCGAGGCAAACTAAAGTTCTAAGGTGCAAATACAGAGAATCTGCCCTGTTCTGATGGTACCTGATATGACTTCCTTTTGTTTTCTGCCAGCCCTAATGCAAACAAAATTGTTGAACCTATAATGTCACAGCAAGTACAAAAGCCTATGCAATCTGGGTTTTTTTTTTTACCTTTCTTATAAAAATGTAGCTTAGAACTAATAACTTACCTTGCCACACGAAGGTACTATAATTTTTGGTATTAGAATTTTTTAATTAAAAACTTTTTTTTTTTTTTTGAGAAAAGGTCTCATTCTAAAGCCCAGATGGGCCCTGAATTATGATCCTCCAGCCTCAGCTTCCTAAGTGATGGAATTACAGGTGTATGCCACCAACTCCTGCCTAGGTATGCACTGTATTCTGAATTTAGTGAAATGTATGAATATACATCTACATGTGGTTAGTTTCTTACATATCATACACATTTTACATAATCTTCCATTTTCCCTTGCTGAAAATGTCATCTTATCTCTGCCTCAGTGTCAAGGCAGAATTTTAAAGTTTATAGATTTGGGGCCATCCATTTGGGACCCCTCTTATCTCTCAGGAGCTATTTGTATTTCCTAATAAATTTTCCTACTCTTAAAAAAAGTTGGGCTGGGAGATAGCCCAGTGGCGTAAGTGCCTGCCTGGCAAGTGCAAGGTCCTAAGTTTGATCCCCGGTGTCGCAAAAAAAAGAAAAAAAAAGTTATAGCTTTGGGTCTACCATAAAAAGTAATAATCTTACAACATATTCTTGGTCTTAAATAATCTTGACTCCTATAAAATGAAAACTACAAGTAATATAACTAAGTCATACGTAAGTCTCACTATGACCTGGGGCTGCTCACTTACTGTAAGGGAGACAATGCTCAAATATTCCATTTCAAAGGAATTTAAAGCCTAAAAATGGAAGAATTATGGCGAATTCAAAATAGTCAACAAAACTAGCGGATCTGGAAGATATACACAATAACGTCCAGAATTCTGAATATACTTCTTTTTTCCTTTTGTTTTTTGAGACAGAGCCTCCCCATGTAGTTCATGCAGATCTCGAACTCAGTATGTAGTCCAGTCTGGCCTCCAACTTGTGGCAATCCTCCTGTTTCAGCCTCCCTGGTGATGGGATTACAGGCTAAATACTTCTTTTGATGACACAAAAAATGCCCCCCCCCAAAAAAAACACCTCCCCAAATAACAGCCTGTATTAAAATCAGTAATAGAAACATATTAATAAGAAATCTCTATTTAGATAAATATACTTTGTAGGATATATAATAAAGACGACACAATGTGGATCTTGTAATTGAAATTTAGGGGGTGCTCAGCCTGAGGGCGGAGCCCGTGCAGCATGTGGTGCTGGGGATAAAACCCAGGTTCCCTGTGCCTGCCTAAGCGCTCCTAAGCAGGCACTTTAGAACACTGAGCTATCTCGCCCATCCCTATAATTTAAATTTTGACTAGCAATCTCCTCCCTAAAAAGGAGGGGAAGGGAATTCTCTGAGGACTAATTTGTACAACTCACACGGCTTTTGTGTGCAGTGAACCCAGGATTTGTGCACGCGAGGTCAGTGCTCTAGCATTACTGAGCTACACCTCTAGCCTTCTTTTTACTTTAAAAACAATTTATTCATCGGATTTAAAAATAAGTACCTCAAAATATTTGAAAAGAACTCGAGTGAGCGTCTCTCTGAAGTGGGAAGGGCACAGTACTGACTCGATGACCACAACTCGGCGGTCTCTGGGGTTCACCAACAGATGCCTGAAAAGTGACAATTTTGTACACTGTAAAAGTCTGTACTTGTGTTGATCAGTCATAGAGTTTAAAAACACAGAAAGTGCATTACTTCAGCTGAAAAGCCTTCATTTTCTTACCCTGGAAAGAGCACAGTCCTGAGCTCTTCCTATATGCCACGCACTATGCCAGGAACTTCACACACTTATTTAACACAGAAAACTCAAACGGTATCCACCACGATCATAACTTTCTTTTTCTCTTTCTTTGTTCATTTATTTATTTTGCGGTACCAGGGATCAAACTCAGGACCTTGTACTTGCCAGGCGTGCACTTATTCCACTGAGCTAGCTCCCTGGCCCTAGGCTTATAACTTTAGACATTAAAAGATTATTTTATTTGGGAGGATTAGAAAAAAGTGCTCACAAAACTGCAACTGTTACAGTCAGTAACTTAGAAAGCACAGTGTCTCAATGCTTTTCTTGTCTTGAAGCTGCCAGACAGCAGCTGGCAGTTTTATTCTCATGGATGTACACGCATACATTTGGAAAGAAATATTCCACAGATATTCTTGGAATGCCTTATCACTTGCAAGTACTCTCAAGACATTTTTCTGGATAACTATATAGACACAGAACTTTATTTTAAAATTTAACATTTTGGTGTTGGGTTCAAGACAGGGCCTTGCCCATGTTAGGCAGGTGCTCTAACCCTGAGCCCAGGACTCTTTCTCAGTGGAGGTAGGATACTTCTCTCGATAGATGTAAACAATTTACTTACAATTCCCTTTATTAATGAACATTTGTTGTCATTATTTTATCATGCCTCCAGTTTTCTGGTCTTCAGATACATTGTTTCCCATATGATTTGTAATCCAGCCAAGAATCACTACAGTTGGCATTAGGAAATGCTAATCACAAAAGCTACAGCAAATCACCGAAGAAAATTGCATCTTACCTGAAATACAGTATGTGGATGAATTCCTTTAGGTAAGAATATAACTCTTCTGTATTGATATTATACTGAACAACCTTGATAGGCTACAAAAAATGATAATCATTAGTTTATATAAATAATCTCAAGTTAAAACTGAAATGTATTTATGTATTTTATTAAAGCATTTTCTCATAGTAAAAACAATTTGTACTGAGACTAGATATAAAAATTAAAACTAGATCAATCTCTTAGGAATTCTTAAAAACTGATAATGTTCAAAAAGATAGCACATTTTGGTTTGTAATAATTGATATGTATGTAAGTAAGGATCTGTGCTCAGATAGTTTTCATCCAAAACTTTCACCACATTTTGAACATCATGCCACAAATGTCTGCTCTTCTAGTTTATTCAAGGATTTGCAGAAAAATCTGAAATCGATAAAATGATCCCACAATCAAGTACAATTAAAACATTTTTCATGCTTTTGATTTAAAGTAGTAAAACATTTCTGATGCATTAAAATGACAAAATAAACTAATACCCTGGTCTATTCTGTTACATTTTTTTGGGCAGAACCAGGGATTGAACTCAGGCCCTTGCCAGGCAAGTGCTTATTCTACTGAGCCATTTCCCCAGCTCCACAACATGTTTTCTTTCTTTCCTTTTTTCTTTTTTCTTTTTTTTTTGGGCAGAACCGGGGATTGAACTCAGACCCTTGTGCTTGCCAAGGAAGTACTTATTCCACTGAGCCATCTCCCTGGCCCCCTCACAACATGTTTTTATAAAATCAAATATGCTTTATGAGATTGCCAAGTAAAGGAATAAAGTATATAATGCTAAAGTTGTAAATTTACACTAGGTAAGAGAAGGTATGATAGAATTACAACCTTCATTAAGAGTAAGTCATTGAGGGCAGGTGACATAGCTTGTTGGTCTAGAGTGCCTGCTTAGGCAAGCTCACAGAGACTGAGGTTCAATCCCCAATACCATGTGCTGCGCCAGTCCCACCCCCAGGGTGGGTTGAGCTGGCCACACACACACACACACAAAAAAAAAAGACAGTAAGTTATTGAGTAGAGTGCAGTAGCACACACCTGTAATCCCAGCAAGTAAGGCTGGGCTTGGAGGATCACCACAAGTTTGAGGCCAGCCTGGGTTATTAGGCTACATAGGGAGCTCAAGATCAACCTGAATGAGACCTTTCCTCAATGAAAAAAGGAGTAAGTCACTGACTCAGTAGTCATAAAATTAGGATCTGTACTTATGGTGCCATATCTAGAGTTAAGTGGTTCCTAAAATAGGGGCTTTCTTTCAAGAGCTGACCCTTTTACATCACTGGACTGTACCTCCCAGTCCCAACTTAAGAACAGACCCATGAGCTCAGACTTCCTTTGTCTGCACTATCTCAGCACCTCCTAGCCAACATATTCCATCCTTTTATTTTTAGTATCTTCTAAGATAGCCTAAGGCATATACAGCTGCCAGCCACAGCCAATCAAAATTATCTATAAGGTAAATTATTATTTTTGGTTATGTTCTGTTCACAAAATTACAGATTTTACATATGGTCAACCCAAGCCTCATTTGCCCAAGCTTGTCTTGTTAAAAGCACACAACTGTGAAAGACACCTTTTTTTTTTAAACATGTATTTGATACAGGGTCTATAGGGTCCCTAGTGATTCTCCTGTTTTTAGCCTTCCAAGCACTGGGATTACAGGAGCATGCCACCACACCCAGTCTCAATCCCTACGGTCTCTGTGTACCCTGGAGGCGGGAATGGCATGGCACACTTTTATTTTTTTTTTATTTTTATTTTTAAATATTTATTTTTATTTATTACATTTATTTATTGTGTGTGTGTGGCCAGCTCAGCCCACCAGGGGGCGGGGCTGGCTGGCATGTGGTGCTGGGGATCGAACCGCGGTCCCTGTGCTTTGCCAAGCTTGTTTCAAGTAGGTGCTTTAGACCACTGAGCCATCTCTCCAGCCCCACTTTTATTTTTTTTAAAGGAATACAGTATTACATTTTAGCAAAAGTTTGTATTTCAGCAAATTTTAAGCTGTATAAAACCATTCTATTAGTATACTATTCCTAATCTACCAAATTAGCTTTGGCAAACCAAAGAAATGTTTGGTTCTCAAAATTCTTTGGGTTTTGCAATTACAGAAAAGGACCTAAACAACATTGTTCAGTAATTATGATATAATGCTTATATTTAGTAATTATGATACAGTGCTTACTAAGGTTAAAACTTGTTTTCTTTTTTTGTCAGAACTGGGGATTGAACTGAGCCCTTACATTTGCCAGGGAAGCGCTTATTCCACTGAGCCATCTCCCTGGCCCAGGTTAAAACTTTTGGCTGGCCAAATAGCTGAGTGGATTAAAGTGCCTGCAAGCAGGCACAGGAGCTGGGGGTTTGATTCCCAGGACTGCTGTGCCAGCCCTGCCCCTGGGTCACACTGAGATGGCAATTGAGATTGGGCAGGTGGCACACACCTGTCATCCCAGCTCTTGGGAGGCTGTAAACAGGTGGATCGCTATAAGTCCAGTCTAGTAGTGAGACCCTGAACACTCTGTAGACCCTTACCTAAAATACAAAAAAAAAAAAGGCAAACTCACTGAAACAGCACACTATCAGCCGAGTTGGGGCAATAGGATGAGCTACAAGGAGGCATCAGGAAAGGTGTTAGGGTGATGCAAACGCTCTAGCAATGGGCTGAGGGCAAGTGTACAACATATCAACTTTAAGTACACAAAATTAGACCTTGATAAAGCTGACTTGGGAACAGGGGCCGGCCAGAGAGCTCAGCAGACTAAAGTGTCTGCTTAGGTAAACTGGACTGGCCAGGATTCGATCCCTGGCATGCTGTGCTGGCCCTGCCCTCCAGGGTGCCCAGAGTTTGAGACTGGGCATGGTGGCACATGCCTGCAATCCTAGCACTTGGGAGGCTGAAAAATCAGTACGAGTCTGATCTATGTAGTGAGATCCTGTAGATCCTGTCCTAAAATACATTAAAAAAAATCTCTTGGGAACACAACTGTAAGTTATATATTTAGCATTGCTTTATTGGTCTTACTTGAGATTTGTAGTTTTAAATACTTTAGGGGCTGGGGGTGCAGCTCAGTGGCCTAGTACTTGCCTATCATGCAAGAGGTCCTGGGTTTGAGACCCAGCACCAAAAATAAACAGAAAATAAAAGTAAGTAAAAGGACTTGCTTTTGCCACATTAGCCATTCCTTTTGCTAATCTGTTAAAGAAAATACCTTAGGCAGTCCAGCTTTTTTGATCACACTAGGAATTATACATCTTGGGCCTGTTTCTCCAGCAAATCCACATCTGCAAATAAATGGAAAAAGTCAATAATATTCTTTGTGAATATTTGTCAGAGAAACAAATGTTTCTGAATTTGTTTCAAAACAATGGTCCTAAAAAAAAAAAAAAAACAACAACACAAAACAATGGTCCTAATGCATCTGATACAAAGGAACCAAATAAGCAAACAAAAATCTCATCTAAGTTAGTACCTTCTATCGATTATACATTAAAAGAAAAATATCAAAATATCTTAAATTTTTCTTTCTTTCTTTCTTTCTTTTTTTTTTTTTTGCAGAACCGGGGATTGAACTCAGGTCTTTGCGCTTGCCAGGGAAGCACTTATTCCATTGAGCCTTCTCCCCGGCCCCAAAATATCTTAAATTTGCCATACTAAAATAAACCACTGCATCATTTTACAGCAGAATTTACTCTTCCACCAGTTTCAATTTAATATGTAGCTTCTGGCTGGCCTGAACTCACCATGTAGCTCAGGCTGGCCTCCAACTTATTGTGATCCTCCTGCTTCAGCCTCCCAAGTGCCAGGATTACAGGTGTATGCCATCATACCCAGCTTGTTTTTTATTTTAGCTGAATTTTAGGCAAGACATTTCTGCAAGCCTGCTGCACTGTTATGTCATTCATCTGCTGCCAGCATGTGATCAAGTTGCTTTAGCAGCCAAGTAACAGCTAACAGTTGCTTTTTCTAAACTAAAACCTCAGTATTCAGGTTTGAATGCAATAAATAAATATATTTGGGGTTGCAGTCTGAGAACTTGGTCTTTAAAAGGTTCGCCTTCACTGCTGTAGGCAATTTTAACAAAATGGTATTTCTGTGTCTAGATGTATCTAAACATGGAAAACCAGTGATAAATGCGAACTGCACTCAGGTACTGCCTACCAACACTTAGTAATGACAGACCGCATCCATGACACGATGTACTTGTGAGTCTGGTGTTAAAGCATCCTTATAAAATGCATGACTACAATTTAGATCAACCACTGGATAATCACATTTAAAACTCACCCTAAGCCCATGTTAATATAATTGTCACTGCTAGTGCTTACAAAACTGTGTGATATTTCATCCCATTTTTTACAGAATAAAAAATAGTAAAAAAACCCAAACCATCAGAAATGATACATATTTTCACTAACCAAAATAATAGGAATTCAACAATGTCATAATGCATGTTGTCTTCAAATTAGCTGTTTAAGAGTACCAGATATAAACATGCAAAACTAGTACAAAAGTTATAAGAAACTTAAAAGAACAATTAAGCATTGGTTGTTCCTTTTACTAGAACAGCAGAAATCAGCAGTACAATTATCCAAGCTATCCTGTATATGTGCATAAGTATATCTTTTTCACTTTTTTTGTCCTTTCCCTCATCCTAGTTGTTCCTTCCTTTTGAACAGAATCTTTCTCTTTCAGATTTACTCCGTTTTCTTTTCTTTCTTTCTTTTTTTTTTTTTTTTTGGTGGAAAGGGGGATTGACCTCAGGCCCTTGTGCTTGCCAGGCAAGTGCTTATTGTACTGAGCTATCTCCCCAACCCCTCTTTCAGCTTCTTACACTAATGAAACTATATGAAGTTTGCACATGTAGGTCTGATTTACTTCACTTAGGAGTATGGTCTTTAGTGGCATCCATTTACCTATAAAAGCCTTGAGTTTATCTTTTTTTTTTTGGCATAACTGGGGATTGAACTCAGTCCCTTGCGCCTGCCAACCAAGTGCTTAGTCTACTGAGCCATCTCCCCAGCCCCTATCTTTCTTTATAACTATATAATATTCCACTGTATAAAAATACTTCTTTTGTATCCATTCCTCAGCTGATGGATATCTGGGTTGTTTTACCTACCCAAGAAAATAGCTGGGCTGAACAAGTCTCCAATTCTGGCTTTTTAAAAATTTTTAATTAATTAATTTATTTTTTGGTACAGGGTCTTGCTACGCTGTCAGACTCACAGTGATCCTCTTGTTTCAGTCTCCCCAGTGCTGGGATTAAAGGCATGTGCTCCCACGACCAGCTTTGGTGGTTGGCTTTGCAGGCCTGAGGCACAGTTTGCATGGCATGTGGTACCAGAGATCAAACCTGGGTTGTTGTGCTTGCCAGGCAGGCGCTTATACACCTGAGCTATCGCCACAGCCCCTCCAAGTATTTTTTTTTTTTTTATTTTTTTGGGGGGGAACTGGGGATTGAACTCAGGCCCTTGCACTTGCCAAGGAAGTGCTTATTCTACTGAGCCATCTCCCTGGCCCCAAGTATTTGTTTTTTAAAAAACATAAGTGAAAATACAGCAGCCTCTGTGAAGTCATGGTTCAGAGTTCCTGATCTCCATTGCTGGAGGATTTTTTTCTTTTAACCTAATAATTAGTTTGCACAAACTGCAAATATGCTCCGCAATTTTCCCTGGCTGGCTTGCAAGTAGTGAACAGGAAAGCACTATTCAGCGTTCTCTGCTGCTGAGTGGCTGCTGCCCTGTATCACATCTGTGCAGGTGCACTGGCGTTTCCGTGTACTAGAGCACTGTACTTGAGTGTTTTCAGTTTTGTTCTTACAGCCCTAAGATGCCACCAAAGCACCCTGTACGAGGCTTCGCTAATAAAATATTTTATTAAATTAAATTATAGGGCTGGTGAGATGGCTCAGTGGTCTAAGGCACCTACCTAGAACAAGCTAAGCAAAACACAGGGACCGCGGTTCAATCCCCCAGCACCACATGCCAGCCAGCCCCGCCCCCTGGTGGGCTGAGCTGGCCACACACACACACACACACACAATAAATAAATTAAAAAATAAATAAATAAATTAAATTATATAACTGCGGGAGACAGCACATTTGTGGTTTAAGTATAAAAATAGGCTTTTTGTGACCACATCTAAAATTCGAGGCTTTTCACAACTCGTGAGTGCTCTAGGAATGTCAGCTCCGCGAATGTTGGAAGGCCACTCACTAAATTAATAAGACAGGCCCTTGCACAGAACAGCAAGAGAATGCTAGGATTCGTGAACTACAGTTTGTAGCCCCTGAGCTCCAGTTTTTAACTGTGTCAATTCTTTTAACCACTTATTCACTATTCAATACCTGCCATATGCGAGGCTGTTTAAAGATACATAGAGATTTTGCAAACACTTCCATTTCATATAGACAGGGATAGCTAGACATAGATACACAAATAGACGGGCTAAGTCTGCCGTCATTTTTCTACATCAGTGCCAGGACTAACTTCACTGAGGGTCCAAGCACAATGACGATCCGTCAACCCCCTCCAGCTCTGTGCTAATGTTTTGAGGTTTGCGCATTCGCGACTGTCATCAAGCTTTCAGACATCTCTGCCATCCAAATGGGTGAGAATCACTTGAAACGTCTAAATTGGAGAAGGGGAGAGGGTTTCCAGTCTCATTCAGAGCTTCACCTCTTTCTTTATGGATCCAGTCTCCCTAACTTGGTTATCGACGGAAAACCACCCTATTTCTAGAACACTCAGAAGCTCCACTCAATAAATATTTCACGACGGAAACGTCCTCAGGAGTTCCGCGGCTGCCTGCCCAAACAGACGAGCGCAGGGCCGGCGGGATCCGGCCCCCGCTTTCCCGGCGCAGAGGACGGGCGGGCCGGCTCGGACGGCGACGGGGCCCGGGGCTGGGTCAGGGCCCGCGCTCCGGCCTCAGGCTCTGCAGCCGCAGGGGGATGCAGCAGGCCCGCAGGGGAGGAAGCGGGGAAGGAGGGCCGGAACCGCGGCACTCACTTGGTGAAGGCCTCTCCCAAGTCGATCACGACCGCCGTCTTCTCGCCGCCGCTGCCCAGGCCCTCGTAGAGCGGCATGACGGCTCGGGCAGAGCAACCGGAGAGGAAAAAACGTCCACAGACTTAGGCCGGCAGGGTGGCGACGGCGGGGGCCTCGCGGGGGCGGTGCCGGGAGGCTGTCCAGGGATGTGCCTCACTCCGCGCCCGCAGGAGGGAGCGGGAGGCGCCGAAGCCGAAGCAGGCAGGCGCGCCGGGCGCCCCAGCCGGGTGGCGCGCACTTCCGGGGTCCTTCCTGCCGTGGGGCCTGAACGGCGCAGGCGCACTCGCGGGCGGGGCGCCTGGACTGGGAAGGGGGGACGTCCCTCTGCGTTCTGGAGTGATGACTTCTCTCTTCCTGTGTGGGGTGCTAGGTGTTGAACTGCGAATTTTCGGGCTCTGCTATGCCTCGCCATTTATTTATTTATTTAGGGGTTTTTTTTTTGAGTCAAGGTGTTCGCTGTGTAGTTTGGGCTGCCCTCGCTCCTGTAACCCAGGCTCACCTCGAACTGGAGGTGATTGTGTAAAGGCTTAACAGAATTCTGTGCCTTAACTGTGCGAAATTATTTTTTAAAAAAAACAAAACCCTTGTGCTTTCTGTTATGTAGTCTAAGATATGTAGTCTCCCTCTGGGCTCAAGGCTGTTCCATAATAAATGTTTCTTGTCAAGGCAGCAAGCTGCTTCCCTAACCATCTCCTGTAAGGTGGTCAGCTTAAGATGTATCTTATCTCTTTTAGAATATTTTGCTGAGTTTACACACCTATAATATTCAGTAACGGAACTTAGGAAAAAAGGGGTATACAGATGAATGTCCATTTTGTATCTGTGTATTCAAAGTGGTTGGGATAGATATATAGTTGCATTCTCTTAATGAATAGAATGATTTGTTCTAATGGTGTTTGTAAATAGGATATCATGTCCGCATCTTGTACAGCAATTAACCACTAAGAAGAATTTATGCAGTGTGTTATTTGTTGAATCTGTACTTCCGATTTGATTTGAAACTGTCTCATTGCTATCTGTTTATCAATAAAATTTTGAAAAAAAAAAAAGATGTATCTTATAGGGGCCGGGGAAATGGCTCAGTGCAGGGGCCTGAGTTCAATCCCGGTTCCATAAAAAAAAAAAAAAGAAAAGATGTATCTTATAAAATATACACTTATCACTAAGGTATAAAGTATCTTTAGTTACCAACAGTTTGTAGCTGTGTCAAATGAAATGTAGTCTTCTGTTGTTCTGTGCTAGATAACAAATTCGCTTACCAAACTGGATGAGATTTCTGTTAGAAATACCCCCCTGCGACCTACGTTCGATTGCCCATCAGTCTTCTCCTGTGTGAGAAGTGGCTGACCGACCCGAGCTCAGTAAATAAAAGGCTGTCTTCAAATTTCTATCTGGCTGATCTGGTTCCTATGCAGAGTGACCCATAACAATTGATCCCTTGCCTTTTTATACTTTTCATTTTGAGGCACGCTCTTGTTAAGTGGCCCAGGCTGAGCGCGAACTTGGAGATCCTTCTGCCTCTGCTTCCCGCATTCTTAGGATTCCAGGTGTGCACTGCCGCATCTGGCTTGGTTCTTACTCTCTTGCGGAAAACATCGCTGAGCACCTGTCACTTAATTGACCCTGTAAATTGGGAGAATAAGTGTTGCATTTTATTGTGGGAGCGCTGCGCCTTGGAGGGATTTTCCATATAATTCCCAAGCTCCTGGTCTCCCAACCGAGCCAGGAGCACACTCCGGAGTCTTGCTGATATGAATGCTTTAGAGAACAATACTTACTGACGCCGCTCTACTGACATTTAAATTTCAGAGAGCTGCACCAGTAGCATCTGTGAGGAGTAATCAGGATATTTTATTTTTTTCTTTCTTCCCATCCCTCCCCCTTCCTTCCTCCCCTCCCCTCCC